ACTAACAATGCATTTTTCCCCGGTGCATCACTTTACAGACAAAACAACCCAAGTGCAGTGGTGATAAGTAACAAAGTACAAATACTTTGTTACTGTACTGAAGTCGTCTTTTCGGGTAGTTCTACTTTACTTGCTTACTTTTTTTGTCTGCCGGCTTACTACTTTTTTCCCCTCTCTTTAAAAGAGATATTTGTACTCTGTCTAATTTTAAATTGCACATACAAGTAAAGTGCATCAGTCGTTAGCATAAGCTAATTTTGATTTTTTTTTTTGTTAGAACAAAACTTTGTTTTGTTTGGACAAAGCTTGTTTTGATAGCATAAAAGTTGAGTCAACACTCATTAGTTCTAAAACAACAACTTACTATGTGTAACATGATTTTTTTCCCCGCATTCTTCTCAGTAAGGTCACGATGAAATTTACAAGAGGGGAAACTATTCTAAGTTACAGGTATCTTACAGGTACTGAAATATAGTTCAAAGTCAGTTTTTTTTACCCTAAGTACAGCCATTGACTTCGATGCTCAGTCGTCTTGTGGTGTCTGTACTTCTACTTAAGTAAAGATTGACTTTTACGCTATCAATGTAAAATGAGAAGCCTAACTAAAAATGCTAAATTAGCTAATGATGAATCGTAGAAAGGGTTCTGTCAGTCGTCATCTGTACCTGTGGGTAAAAAACCCACCCAACTGATGAATGTGAAAAAGTATGCCTCACTCTTATGTGTTTTGTCTTGTTTTTTTTTTAAAGATGATGGTTTTTAGGTATTCATCATGAATCATTCTTGCAGCCAACAACAAATGAAAAAAATTCAAGGCAATGTTTGAAGAATATCTTGCTTCTGTTGTGTTGGAAATGCTCCAAAGTGGATGTCTGTTGCTGATTTTTGTGTTTAATAAATCCCCAATATCTCAGTCAATCAAAATCATAACGATGGGTGTCTTCCCCTTTCTCTGTTTGTTTACCTAATTTTTACCGTGTCATCATCCGCGGGAGTTGAATAAAATTAAACTATTTGGACCACATAAGGAGAGAAACTGGCGGTCGAGTGGTTAGCGTGTCGACCTCACAGTGCAGAGGTACAGGTTCGATCCCGGCTCTGGCCTTCCTGTGTGAAGTTTGCATGTTTTCCCCGGGCCTGCGTGGGTTTTCTCCGGGTACTCCGGTTTCCTCCCACATTCCAAGAACATGCATGGCAGGCTGATTGAACACTCAAAATTGTCCCTAGGTGTGAGTGTGAGCGCGGGTAGTTGTTCGTCTCTGTGTGCCCTGCGATTGGCTGGCAACCGATTCAGGATGTCCCCCGCCTACTGCCCAAAGACGGCTGGGATAAGCTTCAGCATGCCCCACGACCCTTGTGAGGATAAAGCGGATCAGAAAATGGATGGATGGATGAAAGGAGAGAAACTACTTAAGAAATAGTACTCCAAACCATCACTCAGGCCCTTCTAAATATCAACCACAGAGCATTTTGGAGTTGAGTGCTGAGACATGAGCTTAGCATCACTGCTGAGTCGTATGCAAGGTCTGTAAACCAACGCTACCGCAGGAAAGCAACATCAAGTCCGCGTGTGTAAATCCGCCGTTACCGCACGTCTGAAAAATCAGATTGTGCCTATCCATGATTTATTGTGGCCTGTCATTGTGGCTTTCCACATGAGCAGGCTACACCCCCACCCTGCTTCATGAGACGCATGTGACAAGTCCACCATTGATGCGTTGTGCCATAAAGATCAACGCTGTAATTATGTGGTTGGAGCTCCATTCAACAGTGAAGATCTAAAAAAAAAATAAAAAAATAAAAGAAAATAAAATAAAAAAAACAACAAAAACAAAACAAACCTTCATCTTAAAAGCTACTTCCAAACCTTTGTTCTTTGCGTGAAATCTTATTTACTCAAAGCAGGCATTCTTTTCCTGCATACTTTCACGTCTCCTTCGAGCCCAAGGTGCTTCAGGTTCATTTTGTCTCATTTTTTAAAAGCCTTAGCACCAAATAACATTAAATCTGCACATGCATCCAAGCCCATTAAAAGGACTTCCTGTGGTGAATGGAGTATTCAGTTTAAAAAAAAAATGGAAAGAATGTTGAATAATAAAACATCATTTAGTTACATGGTGGGGTAATTTTTAAATAAATATCAGTTCATAGTGAACCTCCCAAAAATTTATCATGTTTTAAAAATTCCCCCCATCTCTAAATCATATTTTATGCTGTTTTAAAGGAGTCTTATTATGCCTTTTGTTCACAATTTAAAATGGTTTCCATTATAACAAACTTATCATTATTATTATTATTGATGAATGTGTTTAATTGCTGCCCATAATTACTTTTCGTGGAAGAATTTCTAGTGTGACTCAGGGTTAAAGTGGCATGGTAAACACAAGATAACCAACTGAACCAGAATAGGGTGGGGGGGATTGCCATTCATAAATGGGTATATCCTGTTGGCCTTTTAAAAGAAGGCTTTTTTTTCCTAATTTTGAATACGAACCAAACTTCGGTGTTCATGATTAAGACGGGGGGAAGTTGCTGAACAGTGGTTATAAAATAAAAATTGCATATTAACTCCAGACATGTGCATGCCACATGTGTATCAGTGTAACAAGATAGCAGCAGCTGCTTTCACTGTACTATAAGTATCTCATCAAATTCAATTTCGAATGACAACGATGGCGGGAATGGAAAAATCATTAGGTCAACTCGTTTTATTTTTATTTGTGCACCGAACTTAGCATAATGTCCTGACCCTTGCTGCCTGCCATCTGTAAGAGCATAAATATGTTTTCCATCAACTTCAGTGTGTTTATTTGTACATTTTCTGATCTCAATTTGTTTCTAGTCTTTTTTGCTACAAACCCATTTCCTTAGTTTTAACAACCTAGCATGATGAGTTGGTTCAAAAATAATTACCGGTAGTCTAATGGTAGCCTACAAATGCCTCAGAGGACTGTACAGCTTGGAAATTGACAAAAATATTTTGAAATTAAAAAAAGGCTTATGTGAAGTCAAATGGCGCTATGCTAGCTGCAGGTAGCTAAAGCAGTGCGCGAGAATAGTAGAATCGACAGCTAACATTAGCGGCTAATGCTGAGTAGCAAGTTGCTCTTGGTGTCGTGACTTGTGATCAAAGATTAGAGGTTAAAGACACACAATTTGAAGCACAACCCAAATTTGGAAGTTGTGTGCACAAGTCAAACTTGTGAAACTTTTTTTGGGGGACAAATAAAAGACAAAACGAAAGTGTATTCTTTTCAGCAGCACCGATCAAACACACTCTTTCAACCCCCTTGTTTTCTCAGTCACAGAACCAACTCATTTTGCAACTAAAGGTACCACCGTAGGTAATTTAATATGCACTGGTTAACATTGTTTACATTTCCATTATTTCCATATTAACAAGCGATCGGATTGTAGTCAACTTCAAGGTTTTCCTGTTCATCAGTTCGTTGTTGTCCTCACTCATTTTTCCACCCTTCCTTTCACATCCCTCTCCCTAAGCCATTCTCTATATTTGAAAAGGGAATAAAAACCTATGTCCAGTTTAAATTCACACACCGCATTGCATAATTTGTCCTCTTATTATTACATTTGCCAAATCAAACCCAATCAAAACGGACAAACAATGGTGAAAGGTTACAAAACATGTCAAACTAACAGAAAGTCGCAGACCAAACGGAACCTTTTCCGTGACGCATTTAAAACTCTAAAGTCCAGATGTTGACCAAGGCATGACCGTGTTTGAATACACAGAATGTCTCGTCTGGCGGTGCCAGCGAGTGCCTAGCAACGCTAACAGAAAAGTCTGGTGGCTCATACATCGGAGCATCTGTCCCCAATCAGACTGCTTGATCACAGTGTTAATAAAAATGATACTCTGACCACCTTGTTCTAATAAAACATGAATCTGTTTGATCAATGACAGAATTCTTTCAATGCCAAAAAAGTAAGAACACCCTTCCATGAGCTTTGAGCAGAAATAGTACACCGACACTGTAGAGTGAACCGTTATTATATTTCACGGTTCATACAGTACACAGGCAAAATTCAAATTTAAGTTGCACACGTTCAGTGTACAGTAGTAGCAAGTTGTGCCGCAACACAAAAGTCTGCTTGAAACGATGAAGCATAAGAGAAGAAGACGCCCCCTCAGTGTAATACGGTTTGCTCTTTTAATGTTTGTTGTTCCCACAGAGCAGAGAGAATACTTGCCTGTGAGTGTTGTTCTATGCTCAGTTTTACAAAACCTCAACTGGAAATTACAAAACTCGACACAAGCAGGCTTTGCCTCTTATGTGGAGAACAGTATAAGCGAGAAGCTATTTTTCGTCCTCACAGTGATGTCTTTCATTTCTTGACAACGGTAGCGAGAACACGTCGTAAGGAATACTTCAAATAGTGTGTTTGAAATAGTTTTTAAAGGATGTCACAGTGGTAAGAAGGTCAAGAAAAGGGTCCCGTTTGGTACGTAGATCTGGAACATAACCCGCATGATCGTCAGTGAGCATTTTGGAAGACAGTAGATGGGATTTTCTCATCCTCACAACCATCCGAGCAAAAATAATCTTAAAGACAGCTATACTATAAAAAAAAAAAAAAGCAGCGTTCTCTGTGGTTGTTCTAAAATTATTTATTTGTGCTTCTCTTCAATACCTTTTATGCCCCATTATTTTATTCTTCAACATGGACTATGCCCGATCGGACTATAATTGTTTTCACTTATCCCAGGGCGATGTGACCTTTGACTTTGATTTAATCAAAAAGCAATTATCCCCCCCAAACATAAACATAATCAACAGACTAATAAGTCATTAATCAGTCACGTGTGAGACTTACAGTAATGTGAGAACGTACAAAACTCCATCCGTGATTGTATACATTTTCCATCATCCATTGTGATAAATGGCTACAAGTTCTATTTACACATGAAATCGTTGTAAAAGGCACTTGGATCCCCACCCCCACCCCCAATGAGATAGCATTTAATCCTGAACACTTACTTCTGTAGGGTGAGGCTGAGATTGCCCGTGCAGTTCTTGATCTTGTTCTGGGCCTCCAGGTGGTTCATCCCGTCAGTGGCGATGCCATCGATGGACAGAACTTTGTCTCCGATAGCGACACCAGCTTTGGCCGCTTTACCGCTGTCGTTAAGCTGCACAAATGAAATAAGGACAAGTGGTTTGATTGACATATGGGTTTGGCTTGAAATGATCAAATTCAACCCATCTTGGGTTTTTAACCATATCATAGCTCTTTGTTAGCACCTGTACAATATCATGGCAGTACATATCATGGTTAATTTTTGGGGTGCAGTGATGCATCGGAAAGACTGCATAACAAAATGAGAATGTACACAGCTCACACACAGACACACACCTAGACTCTTAAAGACAAATGCAAGTACACAGAAACTACGATGTGCGTAACCTTGAAGCTTTTGTCAATCATCGTACTGGAACTAAAACAATCAGGCAAGCCTAAATTACGGCACTTGATTGAACATTCGTCTTGCAATCTTCACCTTTTCAGTCACAAGGTTTGACAGATGAGCGAAAGACCGAACTTAAATATAAAAGCAGCTGAAGTACAACAATGTGAGGTAGAATATAGCCAACGGATATCCAAAGCAGAATCCTTAAGAGGTTAAGACTTTTGCCCTTTCAAAGACCCTACACTTGGCAGGAGTGTAAGAAAGGGTCTTCGGCATCACATTTTCAATCGCCAGCACAACAGCCAGTAAGCCTCGAACCAGTTAAAGGCACGAATGACAACGCACCCTTTAAAGGGAATTGTTAAAAAAGGTGACGCCGGATTTATGAGGCGGTACGCAGAAACAAACCGGTTTATAGTCTTTGGGACAAACACCATCTAAGTCTTGGTTTGTATGCGTACCTGACACCGCTTGGTGTTGCCTTCGATGTTTGCCTTACACTGTTCCATTGAGCCGCGTTGAAAAATGACAACACGCGCAGGGAGCTGCTTTAGGCCACAACTCATGTCCAGACGCTAACATACAATACAGACTAAATGGCCAACATACAAATAATTCAATATGTACTGTATTTACACCTAAAAAAAATGTGTTTATTTCTTTATATCGTCTTTTATTATGTTTTGGTACAATCCAGTGTGATGTTTCTTTTTAAGAACAAAAAAAAAAAAAAAAAAGGCAACCAAAAAAAAAACAAAAACAAAGGGTTGGTGGTTTTTGGGTGCTAGAAATGATTGCATTTCAGTTTATTTCACATTCATGTTTATTTCTACTCCACATGGGTCCCACATGCAAGAATTAGAATGCATTACATGAGCACATGCTCATGTTTCTTCCACGTTCGAACACCAAGATACAAACTACTAGGTTATGTAAGCACTTTGTAATATAAACCAGACTACTTTCTTATCAGCAGACTGTGGGTGGACAGTAACGTGCGAAGGATGTTACACCCTGTATTGCTTGTCTACTACACCAAAGAACTGCACCCCCCCACCTCCAAAAAAAAAGAGCTGTATTCTGCTTATACGTTGGCGTTAGCGACTTTTATCAGCCTTTACGTACTGTGCAAGGGTGGCTCTGGTATTTCTTAGCCACACAAAGGGTCTGAGAGGGGTCTAAAGTGGCAGTGAGGTCATTTGTTTCTTGACACGATGAAAAAAGGGACCACCCACACCTTAGCGACGCGAACCTCTCCCCTTGCAAATAACCCATTTGATCCCACGGCATCCACAATAAAAAGCATAGAAGAAATGTTAGCTTTTCTTCACCCTTCTGTAATATTATCTCACACACATATAGAATTTACAGGACATTGTGTATTCAAGACAAGACACTCAAGCACTGATTTAAAAAAAAAAAAAAAAGAGAGAGAATGGGATTAGTGTTAATGCTCTGTGGCCCCCGACCATTTATAGTCATATTTTCCCAACACATGCACACATTAAATCACTCGCGTGTTCACTGAGAGGAAGTTGCTCTGATTTGACAATAGTTCAACTCAAAACACCTCACATTTGAAACTAGAACAGGATTAGTATCTGTCAAGGTTAAAGGCGTCATTAGATTTATATTTGTGGCTTGATTGGTAGTAATTAATATGAATTAATTATTTTTATCTTGGAAAAAATGTATTGACGCAGAAAAAATACACCTCTTTACTGATATATTTCATTTTTATGACAACATTAGGGGGTCCAATGAGATGTAACGTGTGTAAACTCACGTCCGGACAATAGACAGACATTCAACGACAGGGACACAAAGACACAATGCTTTGCAAAACTTTGCAAGGGGACAACCATAAACGACAAACAATGTGCACACTGGCATATTATTCCACCAATTTTACAAAAACTGTATTTACGTAAGTTTTGTGGCGCCTCCGATGTGCCCAAGGACAAGCAGAGAGGCACACGTGTGCAATGAACATTTCAGGAACAAGGAAAAATTGACAGTTTGAGATGGGACATGCCACGCAGGTGACATTAAAAACCAACGCTGTGCCGTGTATTTTTAATGAGGTGAAAGCTGAACTGCCCAAGGTAGGATCTATGCTTCCTCTCAAACCTTCGCCATCCCTGGCTCAACTTGTGGGGCGTTATATCCAAAATGCGAGCAAAGACGCTGCTCGTAAATTAAACCGTTAGTATTTAAAGTCCTTGCAAAAAAAAAAAAAGGAGGAAAATGTCTTTCAATTTCAATTTCAATTTGTAAACAAGACTGTTGTTTACAAGCCTGTCAAATATGGAATTATTTTATTTTAAATCAACAAGTAGATGAAACGATGCTTCAAAGTCATTAAAAAATAATAATAATAATCCAGCCTATTAGAGAATATTTTAACCAAAAAGACAATCTGGCAATCATAACCTCAATTTCGGAGGTGTGTGACAGTGTGACACAGATGACCTACCAGTCATTCACAATGCGTTCACATGTGCTCTGAACAAGTACGCCGTGTGTTCATATGTCTGCTTTTTACCTCAACAATCCAACCATTCAGTCCCGTGAATACCAGCGTGTTATATTCACGTTTTAGCGAACTGCCGTTTTGCCTTTACGACTTCAAAAAAATGTGGAATTGTTGACGCCGGTCCAGTCTTTAATAGGAACGCTCTTTGTTGAGCCGTACTTTTCCATTCAGGGGTCTGTGTTCAGAGTAATCAGGCAATTATGACTTTAGTACTCTGCGGTTCCTGCTGGAGTCGACAGGCTATTTTCGAGAGAGAACATGCAAAATATTTGTCACAGAAAATCCAGTGTTTGAGCCACATTTTCTGTTTGACAGCATTTCCCCTGTTTCTTTGAAGTTACTTTTCAATTTTACAGTATGCTTACTGTAATAGCCTCACACGTGGGAACGGAGAGCCAAGGTTACAATGCACTTTTTAGTATTTTATTGAATAGGAAAGGAAAATAAATACATTAAAAAAAAAAACCTCAGTAAACACACTGACACAGAAGCTGCTGTTTGCCACAGCTCATTTCCAGACACCCACACGCAAACTGGCCAACATCACACAACACCCCACAAGGCCCCGCCTCCTAAAGGTACACATTGAAATCTCGAGAGGATCAAGCTAGCATCCTTGAGCAAGATGTAATATTGGACAGCAAGGTTCATGGAATGGAAAAACACATTCAGAACCTTAAGAAAAATAAATTATATGTTTTTTTAAAAAAAAATCAATGCATTGATTGTACATTTTTTCCCCCATAATCGATAAAGTATAGAACAATAAAAAATAAACACAATGAGCATTCTCATGAAGCAGCTGCTGTTGGCCACAGCTCACATCCAGACACTCACACGCAGACGTCTCGTCACAACAATTACTGTAATCTATCAATTTTATATTTATGCAATTCTCTGGAGGGGCTTACACATTTACAGTGTGTTTTAAAATGTTTAACTTTATTTTAAGTGTGTGGGAGGGGTTAAACTATAAAATAATGCTTTTAAATGGTCCCTCTGTGTCATGGTTTTTAGTTAGTGTGGATGCGTCTGGAATGTGTCCGCCACAATAAACAGGGTGCTCACCGCATTTATGAGTGGAACAAGGTTTGCCCGTGCTGTTCTCATCGTATATAACAGTACATGGCCCCGCACTTTTTAACTCCACATTCCCAGTTTTGATTCACTTCATCGCAACGTGCTTTGGAAACAAAAACCACACAGCACCATTATCACAGACGCACACACGAGCACATACAAACAAATAGAAATCCAAAGACACAACTGTGGTTAAAAGATGAAAAAGAAATCACATGGCTTCGGTTAGTGGGAAAAGTATCACATCCAAAGTAATAATAACTCAACATGGGGACCCAAAGAGGCCCCGAGGGGCACTGGAATTAGAGCGGGCCAGTCATTCATCATCGGGCTCACATTGCCATTCGCCTGCGTGCTGCCAAATTTAGTCATTTGTTGGAGCGTTTGTAAATTTGGATCAGAACTGCATGTGTACTTTATCACACTGAGAGCTGTTTCGAACAGCATCCACTTCGGGAAAAAAATAAACGCCATCCTCAAATACAATGCACCCACAATTTATCGCGAGTCACATTCAAGTCCCACCGGCGATTGCTGATACAGATATGTAACTTATTTTATAGTTTTTGCCCTTCCCCCATTTAACACACATTTATAATTATGACATCACATTTTTGAAACACATTGCAAACATATTTGAGCGGGCAAAAATTGTACGGAAAATAATCGTGGTGTTTGGTTGCCTGCATGTGTCTTTAAGAGGCGGGACCTGTGAGTCTGCGTGTGAATGTCTGGACAGCAGCTCCTCCATGAGTGTGTTATGTGTTTTATTGTTCGCAGCACCCAATAAATGGCTGAAAAGTGCATTTGACACTGACTCGCCTCTCACACACGCAAGGGTCTCACAGTTAACAGAATACTGTGAAACCTAGTCCAAAAAAAACCGCAAAACAGTCTCTTGATAAAAACAGGATATTATGTGGGCGTAAGCAATGAACCGCGGCATCGCCTGGGGAACATTTTGGACGCTTCATTTTTAATCCCCCATCGGGATGAAAACAGGTACCAACTGTAATAACCACTGTTCCTAGAAACTGTTGTTCACACCGTGTTGTAAACCAAAACAGCAGCACCGAAACAGGAAACTTGTTTCTCAAAGTGTAAACATGTACCCTGCACAATGATCTTCGAACGATTAAGGTCCCAGTAGAGTCCATATGCTCACATATGGATTAACCAGCTTCTGATGTCACTCACTAGGCCACGCTCCTTAGGGGGCCCATCCAGCACAAAAATACGACCGTACAGTAATTACACTTTATAAAAACTGTGAATTTCTTCATATTCCCTTAATTATGTTTCTGTGCAATATAGTTGTTCTTCCCAAAAACACGTAATCCCCCACACAAAAATGTTTTTGGGGGCTTCTTACCCTGGAGATGGTGAGAGGCAGGTTGAAGTCTTTTCCGCCTTGTAGCCGAAAGCCCCAGGGGGCCGGGCCAGAGAGAGTGACGTTGTAGTTGGTGCTCATGGTTTCCTTGTGCTGGTTGTTGTTATGTTGGAGGGAGATGCTAAAGAAAAGCAGAGTTCCATATTGTTAAGAGGGGAGCAGGACGTGTACTGTGACTAATTCCACAAATTGGGAAAGAAAATCACATATGAACTTGCTTCTTTCCAGATACTGAAATTTAGATACAAATAAGAGGGTACGTAATATATATATATATATATATATATATATATATATAATTTTTTTTTAACTGTTTAAATTGTGAATGAAATCATTTTAAAAGAAATATTTTACCCGCAATTCGTTACAATGCACACAAAAAGTAAAAAATGACAAGAATAGTGCTTACTAACCTGAGGGAAAAAAACTAAGTATGTAAAAACGTTGAAATTAAATTACATTGTATTAAATAACAAGAAATAAATCTAAAAATAAGATATGTAAAATAAAATAAAATTTTAAGTCAAAATAATAATGTAAAAATAACAAATGCAATAAAAACAAATTAAATAAATGCTGAAATAAAAATACAAAGACGAAAAATAAATAAATTATAATTCCTTGCACTAAAACGAGCCTTTATTATTTATTAATACATTTCTGGGCGGCACGGTGGCTGACTGGTTAGCACATCTGTATAATTTTTTTTTAACTGTTTAAATTGTGAATGAAATCATTTTAAAAGAAATATTTTACCCGCAATTCGTTACAATGCACACAAAAAGTAAAAAATGACAAGAATAGTGCTTACTAACCTGAGGGAAAAAAACTAAGTATGTAAAAACGTTGAAATTAAATTACATTGTATTAAATAACAAGAAATAAATCTAAAAATAAGATATGTAAAATAAAATAAAATTTTAAGTCAAAATAATAATGTAAAAATAACAAATGCAATAAAAACAAATTAAATAAATGCTGAAATAAAAATACAAAGACGAAAAATAAATAAATTATAATTCCTTGCACTAAAACGAGCCTTTATTATTTATTAATACATTTCTGGGCGGCACGGTGGCTGACTGGTTAGCACATCTGCCTCTGAGCGCAAAGGTCTTCCTGTGTGGAGTTTGCATGTTCTCCCCATGCCTGCGTGGCTTTTCTCTGGGTACTCCGGTTTCCTCCCACATTCCAAAAACATGCATATCAGGCTGATTGAACACTCGAAATTGTCCCTAGGTGTGATTAGGAGTGCGAATGGGTGTTCGTCTATGTGTGCCCTGCGATTGGCTGGCAACCAGTTCAGGGTGTTCCCCGCCAACTGCCCGAAGAAAGCTGGGATAGGCTCCAGCACCCCCCGCGACCCTTGTGTGGATAAGCGGATCAGAAAATGGATGCATAGATTGGATAATGCATTTCTTTGTAGAAAAAGGCAGATATGTTGTTGAGAAGAAATATAATATTATCTACCCTGCAAAAAAAAAAAAAAAAAAACACGAAAACTATGAACACCACATTTCACAAGATTCACATATAAATCTAATTTAATTGTAGACCGGTACCTGGAATACATTTCAGAAATGCACGTTTTTATCTTTCTAGCATAATTTAAAATGTTTTCATCAATCAATAAAACTTTATTTATAAAGCACTTTTCATACATGGTTAAAAGCATGATTTATTTTATTATTAAAAACCACGCTACCTTTATTAGAATCCCCAGAGAGGGAAACAGCTCCTTTGCAGGCAGGTGAAGACAGTATAATAATCCCCTGGAGTCCCTGGACTATCCCCTTCCCAGCAAACACACTGAGTGTGTGTGAGGGGGCACTGGGGAGCAAATGCTCTTATATATGAGGAGGGGAGGAGAAAGGTGGAGGAGGGGAGAGAGGACGAGGAGTGAGGGAAGAGGGGGTGATGAGAGGTTAGGTTGGGGAGGACGAGAAATCGGGGAGACGAGTGTGGGAAAGTGAGGGGACAGTTTATCTCTCATCTGGATATTTTTGGTGTGGACTGAGGCTACACTCTTTCAATAGAGACAAGAGTCCATCCACTCCAGACAGTCTCTTCATCTTCCCGACCAATAATTGGCTTCATTTACTTCTTATTGAGTTATTGCAAGATCTGTCCCAAGACGGCTGTTAGCGTAATGCTGACAAACAATACAAAACGCCATAGACGGGCTAATGAATTGCATTAGTGTTACTGTGTTATATAAGCAATGGATATTTGAAGATAAATGGTGGAGCAACATTGAAGACATAAAATACAGAAGTACACACAGACATAGATTATTTATCCCTTGGAAAGAACAAATTTATCAGTGCAGTTTATTGAGAAATTAGGTGTCGACGTAATCAGATGATTTTCATTTTCTCCCAATACAGTAAAGCTTGTTTATCCCCAGGGCATAAATTCCAGACCCTCAATATGTGAAAATCTGCGATACAGAAGACCATATTTAAAAAAAAAAACAACAAAAACATTATTTTATGTCGACATTACGGCTTTTTAAAACACACTTTGTTCGCGCCTGTTCTCACTTTCTCTCTGTGAACGAATCATGGACACACACCATACAACATCACTTTGAGGAAATAAAAGGACGAGGACTCGCCAAATAAGAAGCAGAGTACGAGTGCTTCAAGATGTTTATTCGTCGCGTCCAACTGAAGTTTACTGTTAAACTGTCACATTGAACAAAAGAGAGATTAAAGCAATGTCTTTTTTTTCTTATAACCAACCTCATGTACACTGAAGGCACACAATCTTAAAGTAAGACTTGCTTAATACACTGTGAAAACCCAGAAAAGACAATGACTTAAAAATCCACAATACAGGTCGTGTGTTAATGATAAACCATCATATAGCTAACGTTCACTGTATTTAAGATAACATTCACTGTATTTACAGTGACAGATGGGACAAAAGTTGATGCATTCAATGCCCCATGGAGATATGCTTTCTAGGCTATAAACCCATTGTACTTTTTTTGTTGTTATATTTGAGAGATTATCCATATTGTCTTAAGCGTTCACTGTGCCGATGGGTGGAAAAGATGGGCCACGGGTAAATAATATCAAACCCTGGACAAGAGAGTGTGCCATATCGTGAAACCTCAGACCCTCTGGCTGTCCCTTTGTTCTGTTCAACAATCTATTTCAGTCCCATATGCTCACCTCTCCAGATCCGCAAGCTTAATGACCAAAGCTTACCAGCCCCCCTCTCACACACACACACACAAACACACACACACACACACACACACACACACACACACACACACACACACACACACACACACACACACAATTACTTCACATTTCAGACAAGCCCCACCCCTTTGTGGCTTGATCATCTGCCCATTTAAATGACATTTAATGCATCATCCGTGTGAATAAAAATGGGGATAGCCGCCTTCTATTCAGCCACCCGGTCTCTCTCACACACACACACACACACACACACACACACGCACACACACACACACACACACACTTTGGTTACATTAAGTGTGCTTTAATAAGTTTGAATGTTTTGAAGTTTTTTTTCTGGTCCCTCCCTATTTACTGGTAAATGGGAGTCACGTTTGTCCTATTGAGAGAAACAAATCATTTGATCGACTTCAACGTGCACTCGAATGTGTATCAATCCTTCAGCATAAGTAAGGTCTCAAGGGGGAGTAAAATGCAAGCATCTGCTCCCTTGAGCCCCCCACCGCTCCATCCCTCACGACAAATTAAATCAAAATTAAATTAAATGGGAAGAAATAAAGTCTATTTACCTCTTACTTGCTGTAGCTACTGTAGTAGATGTTGCAGGTATGAGTGCTTTACTTTGTAGTTTTTTTCAGTTTCCCCTCCCTATATTTGACAGCAGTTTTCTGTCATTTCTATTCCTTGCTTTGTCAAAACGCCCTTGTTTGCTTTCGTTTGTTTTTTTTACATCAAATGGCCATCTTGAAGCAAAATGGCTCCTTGTGTCTTTTCAGACATGACTTGTGACATTTTTCAAGGGTCAATTCATGGTAGGTCTGGTTGCCAAATGTCATTTTGCTGACTGAAACTCAACTCAAGATGTGACTTTGGGGAGCTAAGTGTTTAAAATTCAACTTCATCTGCTTTGTTGTGAATTTCAAAGTGCGCCAGCAGAGGTATGTGAGCGCCCTCTGGTGGTAGACAAATTGATTGTTCTGAAACATTTTTTGTATTGTTGTACACTTGCTGTCAACTGAAAATGACATCACGGTTGCTCTGGGCTCAGGTAATAACCAACCACGGTTGTTTCCTGAGCTATGAGCAACCGTGATGTCATTATCAGCCACAAGCAAGCAAACATTTCGCGATCATCAGTGGTGGGGCATTTCGCATTAGGCGGCGTCATCGACGTCATTTAGCGAGCCCACTTCATACGTGCGGGCACGTGACATGCCTTCTGATGGTTTTCTGTACAACAGTCAAGTCAGGGGTCGTCCCGGTGATTCTGAAGCCTCCTAAACCTGACCGGGACCACCTAAAGGCTATGAAAAACCTGTGAATGTGTTTGCCGTTAATTAGCTGACAAGTTTGGAACACAGGGAGCATACAATGTTGAACTATGATATGATATTGAAATTTGTTGTTTTTCTGGTGAACTGTTTATGAAGGTAACAACAGTGTTGTAATGTAGCTTGGTATTGCTGTGCATCAACAATGAATAAAGTAACCTTTAGTGCGCAGTTGTTGTCCGTATATCATTGTACATAATAATCTGGCAACAAATATTCACTTTGCATTGTTGCCCTTGTTCCATTCAGTGGTGCTGCTGCTTTGAATTTGTTGCGATTAGGGTAGCCGAAGCTAGCAACATGTGGCTAACCCCGATTCATGCCCATATGAACTCGGTTTGAGTCTTTCGCCACGATACCACGGACATATATATATATATATATATATATATAAATGAGACATATGATTATATATAAGTCTGTGATTCAGTTGCATGTTCTCCCCATGACTGCGTGGGTTTTCTCCGGGTACTCCAGTTTCCTTCCACATACCAAAAACATGCCGAGTGGGATAACTAAATTGTCCTCAGTTGGGACTGAGTGTGAATGGTTGTTTGTCTATTTGTGCCCTGCGATTGGCTGGCAACCTGTTCAGGATGTACCCCGCCAACTCGCCACAGTCAGCTGGGATAGGCTCTGGCACGTCCTGCAACCCTTGTGAGGATGAGCGGATCAGAAATTGGATGGCTGGATCATATCAAAATGTATTTAGCTGGTTTCATTTTATTTTCAAACATGTTTGATAACTTGAAATATTTAGTTTTTCTACATTTTAATTTCAGATTTTAAATACAACTCTTCAATATTTTGTCACATTCAACTCCTCAATAAAAAAAAAAAAATAGTGTGATAGTACATTATTAAACAAAACATTCAGAGAAATAATTAGTTCCAGGCTCAGAGTGTCACCATAGTGGGCTACATTTAATGACTGTACAACACACAGTTCTTCAAATTCACGAACAAGCCAAACTGATTATATAAGAGAGTGAACAGGAATATACTTTATATAACAGCAGACAACGAGATTTGTCAACTTTTAAAGTAACATGAATACTGTAGTTCCTTAGATGTCCTGAATGAGCTGAACAGTTTGAAGGGGAAGTTACAAGTTACAATGGTTTGAATCATTTGAGAAGTATAGAAGGAGCAGGTCAACATAATATGTCTGCATTAATTTAGGAACGATGATAAATAACACAAAATGTGGACAATTCTGGAATGTAAAAACAGTGTCCTAAGGTGTCCTGAGTGAGCCAGAGTAAAGGGCTTAAAATGAAGGACATTTTCTTTTGAACGTCTCAATTGAATGGGCCTTTTTTTGGGCGGAAAATGTGGAATTTTGTGAAAATTGGGCATTTTTCAAATACAATGAAAAATATAACCACGAATGTCCTGAATGTCCTGTGAATATTTGGAAATTTGAATTGGTGACAAATGCGGAAGGACAAAAAGTGGGCGAAATAATCCAAACAAGGAACTGCACATCGTGAAAGGAACTGCGGTGAAAAGCAGTGGGCAGGCGTACCTCATGTAGCGGCCCGCCAATCAGGACTCTTCGTCCTGCTCACTCACCAGCCGGACAACCATTTTGTCTTTGAGCATCTCGTTCTCCCTGTAGATGTACATAGTGTCGCCTCTCACCTCTGCTTCCTCTTCCTCCTCGGTGGCCAATAACTCTGCGAAGGACGCCACGCATTGGTCGTGCTCCCGCAGGGAGGTCGGGTAACTCTGCGACGCACTCTCAATGCGCGTCGAGCGGCGCACAGGCGTGAAGAAGCGCACCTCGTTGCCGTTCACACGTATCGGCTCCCGGTGCTGGCTGGACGGGGCACTACGAGAAAAGAGGAGAGGGCAAGTTACGCCGCAATTTGTGATTGGATTGAAGAAGCTTCGGCTAACATGTCTGCTTGCACTGATGTTTGAGCTTTTCACTATTACTTGTGGTTATATATACTGTACAGAAATACGTAATTATGTGCTCTATGTTTGCAAACACTTGGAAACCTTCGCTGCTCTGTGGGATATGGGCTTTAGATGAAAAACATTGTTGCAGTCTAAAATTTTAGGAGCAAAATGCCGCCATTTAGGAGCAGTATAGAGCCTCGCAACTGATACTTGAGCCTGTTTTTTTTTAAGCTTCCCAGGCCCCATTTTTCTTTTTTTTTTCATTCCCACCCCAGAAGGTCATTGGAAGCTCTACTTACCCCACACGGTCTATGGCTGGTCAACAGAAATGTTTAATCACAGACAGCTTCATGTACTCCGAAACCTTTTGATGCTGATCTCAAAAATGTTGCACAATCG